TTTTTTTTTCTGTCAAAATAATTATACATTATCTTAGCTGTTATTAGCCGTTAAGTTTTCAGAAAATTTGCCAACATCGTATGCAATTGGTATCGTAATAATATTGTCAGTATGATTTTTGAAAAATAAATTTGCAATTCAATCATCATGGAATACCTATGCCTATATCGTATGATAGTTAAACATAAATTGGAAGACTAAAGATAAATAAAACGAAAATTTTTTTAACAATCCTTGCAGCAGTTAGAGATAGAGAATTTAAATATAAGAAAAAAAAGTATGAAAACTATAGCAAATTGCATAGATTAGAAGCTGCTTGAAGTTTCGGTCGCAATGACCTCTTCCAAAAAAGCATCGAGAACTTCGATTTATCACTATTATTCGATCTAAATACCACCACATAGAATAGTAATGGAGAAATACCGCGAAATAACATTAAATCCTAACATTAAATCCTGCTTTTAATACATCAAGAAAAGTGAATAATTTCTAGTAATTAAGTGAAAAATCTCTAGTTATTGAATGAAAATAACTCACTGGTGTGAAACAGTAATTGGGATGGATTATCAACTATATGAAATGTTACTTGAAGATGGCATGACCAATATGCCTATTGTTTTCAACGGAACGTTACATGTAAATTGACAAACGAAATGGATAGGTAACCTATGATGGGAGACCTCGAGATGTGATTAAGAAAAGCCTTTTTTTTGCTAAAAATTTACTCCCACTTTGTTATATGATATTTCATTCATGGGATGCTAGTTACCTGCTTGTCATATGTACATTAATAATGAAAAGGCTGTTTAGTAAGATGCAAATAGACATTGAAACGGGAGATTTTTTCACTAAAATAAGAGAAATAATTAAGAAATCATAAAGGAACAATATTAATATGCATATAAGGCAATAGAATAATTAAGAAAAGCAACAATAATATAAGGAAAACTGAATTTAACTTATAGAAAATACAACAAAATAGGAATGAGTAATTTCGGTTTAAAATGCGTCTATCATTTCATTCAAGACGCAATTCATCATGTGTTTTTCCCAATTAGATTCCGTCAGAAAAGCCTTGCTGCATACGGGGCAGTTGAATCAGCGCCTATCATTGTTATGAATCTTCATGTGAAGTTTCATATTATTTGATTGCGAGAATGTTTTATTGCACACAGAACAAGCATACGGTTTTTCATTAATGTGAGTCCTCCAATGCCTAAGCCGACTCCATGAATCGGCGAAATTCATCCCACATTCCGAACAGCTGTACGGTTTCTCACCGCTATGAATCCTCCTTATATGTTTATCCAAATTCCCTTTCTGGGTGAAATTCATCCCACACCTTGAACAATTGTACGGTTTCTCACCGGTATGAATCATCATATGCTTAAGCAAACTAACTTTCTGGGTGAAATTCATCCCACAATTCGAACAGCTGTGCGGTTTCTCACCGGTATGAATCCTCATATGTTTATGCAAATTC